TTTCTGGTGGAGGTGGGTGATGGAGGGGGCGGGGAATATGAGGACGTGGCCGTCGTGGGTGGCGCGCTCGGGGGAGACGGACAGGGAATAGGTTGGATGAGGCCAGAGGGCGTGCAGGTGCTGATGGAGGTCGCGGAGGTAGTCGACGTGGAAGTTGATGGATGTCTCTGCCGCGGGGGACTGGCGCAGGGCGTGGTAGGAGTCTGCCCAAGTGGTGAATGGGACGTGCGGCTCGAGGGATTGGCCACCTAGAGCACGGTCAAGGTCTTCGTTGAAGAGTCGGTGGTAGATGGCATCTACGACGGTGTGCGAGGCTAGACCATTGTTAACTGCCAGCTTGACTTTGGAGCTTGACTTTGGGGTCTGAAGCTCACTGTTTGTGATTATAGCCGCTGAGTTGGTCTCCTGGACAAAGATGATCAGAGCGCGAAACAACGGGCCTGGAAGCAGAGTGTGATCTGGAAAGGGATAGTCCATGGTGATGGAGCGAAGGTCATCCCGTGTAGCCACGGTCTTGTAATCCAGGATGCATTGGTCGAGGAACTTTTCCGAGCGGATGATCACATAGAGGCCTAACTCCGGGCCCAGGAGATCCAGGTCAATGGCCATAAAAGCGAGCATTAATGGATGGTGTGCCAGCGTTGCTTTGAGAGCGGTCCTTGCTTGCTGTGACTGACTCAATACAAGATACCTGAATGGTTATAGAAGACATACCTGAACGCTGGCACCCTTGGAAAGAATCGATGTGCGGATATTCCATGTATTGACGACTTGCGACCTGGAAATGGCCTGAACAAAGTCCGTACAGGGCGTAACATGCCGCACATCATCCCAGGTGAGATCATGCGGTTCGAGGATCTTCTCTATTGCTGTTCTGGTCTTGGTGAATGCGTCGTCGTCCCCTCCCAGATGAACCATATCGCCAACTTTGAGCGGGCCGTGCTGCTGTTCTTCCGGTCTTGATGCTGCTAGGGTTTCCTTGAAGTCACTGCCATTCTGGAGTAGGGTGATCTGCTCTGCAATGGTAGTTGCATCAAGCCACCGTGGCAGCGGCACACTCCTTCCAGTCGCTTTTTGGATTCGATCGCGTGCGGTGAGTAGGGTGATGCTGTCGGCAAACAGAGATAAAGGGGCGTGGATGTCGATGCTGTCGGTCTGCATGCCCAGGACACGGCCCCATACAGCTTGGATCTGTTGTTGAAGAGAATCTGATGACTGCTTGATATCCTCGGCTTGAGACTGTTGGTAAGAATTGCGAACAATCTCTGTGAGCTTCATCTTCTGGACTTTTCCTACCGCTGTTCGAGGGTAATCATCCAGACCCAACGTTGGCAAAGAGACGAAGCTGTGGGGAACGTATTTCAAACCCAAAGAAGACCTAACCGTCTCCTTCATTTGCTTCACTAGCTCCTGATCTTCGATGTCAGTCGTGACGACTGCCAACGGCGCTTCTCCAGCAATCGGATCCGGTGCGGCCACCACCTGAGGCTGCAGAGCATGCGACTCGGGCAACTGAGAGAGAATAGCCTCTATCTTGGACAAAGAGATGTTTTCTCCACCGCGAACAATCATGTCCTTATAACGTCCTACATAGTAGAGCCGATCGTCGTCGTCCAGGATAACCTGATCTCCTGTCTTGAACCAGACCTGGCCGTCGACTTCGTAGAAATCGTCGGTATGACTGCCAAGGTATTTGTTGATCATCGAGGGTCCCGAAAAGTGCAAATGACCCGCGGTCCCTCGACTCAAAGGTGTTTGCTCTCCTTCGGCACATACACGAATATGGCACCCATGCACCGGCCTACCGATTGCCACGTCGTATCCCTTGACAATAACATTTGGGTCCGCCACGGCTCCGGTAGAGACAAACACCCCCTCTGTCATGCCGTAGAAATTTTCAACTTTGCATTTACCAAGACTCTCCTGGCATTGTCTCAGTACCTGAGGTGTCATGGCCATTCCAGCGAACGTGACCTGCTGCAGATGGGTTGGCTGGTTCAGGATCTCGGCTAAGCTGCGAACCATCGTTGGCACCATCGCTGCGTGTGTACTCTTTTCTCGTCGCAAAGCTTCTGCCGTCTTCTGGGGCTTGAATTTGTAGCCCGCGAAGACCACGCTTGCGCCGCGGAGTAGCGGTAGAATAGTGCAGATGAATCCAAAGGCATGGTTCATCAGGACCGGTATTGCAACACTGTTTCCGGGACCTGTTGATCCTAGACTCAGAGAAGGTATCAGGACGTCGAACCATCGGGCTGCTCTGATTAAGCAGCCCTTGGGAAGGGCGGTGGAGCCGCTGGTGAAGAAGACTGCCTGCTCTGTTTGAAGGGGGCGAAGGGGGTCACTTGGGTCATCGAAAAATGACTGCAAGCATATCCACTCGTTGACAGGGTGGGCTTGACAGCAGATCTTTAGAGTATTCGGTGGTATGTTCAGCTTCTCGTCAATCTTTCTTGCTGTGTTCTCATCCTTGGCTATGATGACCATTCTTGGTTCCTGAAACTCCATGACTGTGTTGACCATGTGTTGCACATCTTCAGCGCGCAGTAAGCTCGCAGGGCTCACAGGGACATGGATCAAATCTGCCGCGAAAGCCGCCAGTGCAGCCACCACCTGTTCAATTTGGTTCTCACAGAAAACCAAGATGGGCGTGCCGGGTGCCAGACCTTGATTTCTGAGGCTGTTTGCCAATCTGCGCACCGCCTGGTGAAGAGTAGCGTAGGTCCATCGCAGATACGGGGTTTCAGTCTCGTCCCCAGCACAGCTGCAGAACCCGTACAGGTCGGGAGGTTGATGGGTGCAGACGATAGCAACGCTGGCAGGATGTTGCTCAGCAATATAATTGAAGCGCTGCGTGATTGTCCGAGGATTGGCCGAGGACTGATCCCCTGAAAGTTCACTGAGTGCACCCATCTTGACTGTGCTCCTCAACAATGTGGCAGCACCCAAGGGACAGGCGTCGAGTATTTATCGTCTCCTGCACGCTCTCGTCAGTCAGTGACATCATGTCATGCAGCTAATACTTAGGTAGGATTTGATATCCCGCTTCATCAACCATATTAACTGCTTGCGGTAAGGGATTGGCGCATCACATCATTCTATATGCATGACCTCACTTTTATAACCTTATATCACACTCCTAACCCAGGATATATATTTGATATTCGCGGAGATAGTGCCATTTGCTAATACCAGAGAAATTCTTTCCCGATGATTGAGCATGAAGCTAAGCCAACATATTCCTTTGCTAAGTTGCAGGCACCATGTTCATGTGCACCATTGCATCACGAGCCTGATTTCGAAGGTTCTCGATGCTCAAGGGGAGGACAGTGTTGGCTTGCAGACCCTGGGGGAGAACTGGGCCGAAGAGATCTCCGGCATTGATCCCAAGTGAGCACTCGGACTGAGTTGCGGGAAAGATGGTCTATTATTATAATATGGTGAGTCCTGGTCAGCTATAGGAAGGGAAGACAACCCACTGCTTCTTGCTGGAGGGCTGGGTTGCCATTTGCGTCTCCAACATAGAGTTCAGCTTTGCCTTCCACTTGATTGGTGTTGCCTTTGCGAGCATACTGGATTATCACAACGACCTTCACAAATGGACGGGCACCGATAAGCTATAGTCTCATGGCTTCCATGAGCTGCTCTTTAGACTCGGAATCTCCGCATTCGATTACGAATGAGGGGTGGTATTGATTGCCTGGCCTCATACAGAAGTTGGGTATCTTCCTAGAATTCGAGTACGGGGCGTTGAATCGCTTATGGGCTATCCAGAGTTAGCAATGTCATTCATATACCATACAATCCATAGCGAGATCTGACGAGCGTTTACCGACACTCGGAGAAGACGGAGGTCACCATCCGTAACAAGATTCTGCTCGCGCCAGTCGCATTCCTCCATACGAATCCAGTTAAGATGACATCCAAGGAGAGGGCTAGGCCTGACTTTGATAAGCAAGGTCTCTGTAACAGAGTTGTAGTTGATGCTGAGCCGAGCACGATTAGCAAGGAACATAGAGATGATTGGCACTGTCACTTACGCGGCGTTCAAGCTTTCCATGTCCTCGTTGTTGTCTAGCGAGTCGACAATCAATGGGCCCCAGTCGGGGCAAACCGAAGTGTACGCAATTTCAGTTGAGGATTGTGCTTGAAGAACCTCTCTTCGGATCTGTGTGCAAAGCTCTGGCCAAGTTTGGAATCTGCATGCTGAATGGTGAATGGACTCAGCCAAGGGAATGCTATGCCGGATCTGATCTTCCATTGTGGCTTCTTTAAAAGAGGGAGAAGATGAAGGGTGGAAAAGGGAGAGAAAGTTGAGAAGAGCATGAATTTCTGACAGTGACAGGGAATGAGATATAGGCCGATGGGCATTCCATTTAGGGTCCAGTGAAAGAAACCAAGGTAAGACTTCTTTAATTACTTATTTAGGGATACCCGAAGCTATCTACCCAAGGATAAGTAGGTCTTGGGTAGATTGACTGATTAAGTCAATCCTTGGGAGGGAAATTATTCCACCATGGCTGCCTCTACTTCCCTTATGGTATGTATCCTTGGCTCAGAGCAGCGATTATCCTCATATAGAACAGCAGAACAGCGATAGAATGATACTAATTCCTGATGGTTGATACTGCTGTTGGGATGACGTCATGTATACGAGACTCATCCTCGAGATGAATAAGAAGGTAGAGATGGTCGGATTCTCCATCATTCACCGTACTCACAGCTGATATACTCCGTCAGTATGAAGCATCTATCCATTGATCCCCGTCAGAACATCCCCCCAATTCGTGATTCCCCTTCTACTTCTCTTCCAGCAAGTCTTCCCGAGGCGAAAAGCATCAAGACAAATCCTTCCCGAGCCGGAGGAGAAAATGCATCGGTCTATTTCGTTGGGACGGCGACGACGATCTTGTCAGTAGCGTCTTGCCTCATATCAATGAGATGCTAATCTGGCTAGTGAATGGGAGGGATTGAGGTTGATGACCGATGTTGGTCCATGCCCGTTCACACCTTGGCCATGAAACTAACAAGATAGCCAAACTTCCTTCATGCGGGGGATCATGTTCATCTTGGTCCTGGGGTGACTGCTACCCGTCGAACAAATCCTGCGGTTGACTTGCACGAACTGCCTCGAATCGACTTGGTTCTTTTATCTCACTATCATGGGTATACTGCCTTCCCCAACCGGTGCATCAGGTGGACTGACCATTGCAGAGATCATTTCGACCAGAAAGTCGAAGCCTCCCTTCGGCGAGACCTGCCTATTATCACCACAAGCCATGCCAAGTCCATATTGACGTCCAAGGGGTCCGACTCCTTCCAGCAAGTGTTCGATCTCGAGCCATTTGAGCAGATGATGGTCAATGTCAAATGCGACAGTTCGCAAACCAAACAGCCACACATACGAGTGACTGGGATGCCAGGCAAACACATCCCGACCAACAAGGTCGTGGAGAAATTGAACGAGTTCGTGTCGGCAGTAAGTCATCGTTCTGACATGCAGTAACAATGAATTGACAATCCAGATTCCCCCCACCAACGGATGGATGGTTGAATTAGGATATGGCAGCACCCAAACCATGCAAACCGATTTCGATGTGGGCTATCGCATCTACATCTCCGGCGATACGCTGATGGTGGATGATCTCAAGGAGATCCCACGGCGGTTCGCGGGCCAGAAGATCGACCTGATGCTCATCCATCTTGGAGGCACGACGGTGCCTCATCCGAACATGTGGCCGATGACGATGATGGTGACGATGGATGCGGAACAGGGCGTAGAGCTGGTGCGCCTGATCAAGCCTGATCTGACCATTCCGATCCACTATGATGATTACAATGTGTTTGCGAGTCCGCTGGAGGACTTCAAGAAGGAGATGCAGAAGGCGGGTTTGGGAGGACAAGTGGTGTATTTGGATCGCAAAGAGGCTTACCACTTTCAAGTGAGAGCGACCTGATCCTTTTAAAATGAAGCAGCGATGATCTCGTTTCCTTGATACTTGATCTCATTGGATATCATCGATTTAGCCTTGTTCTTTGTGAGCATCGCCTCGTGTTCGGGTGGATTATTTATAGCATCAACAAAACCAACAACAAATTCCAGTGTGATTATTCTTCCATCGATTCCATTCATTCATTCATCCTCAGCATCATCATCAGAATTATCTGCTGTCTAGTGGTTGCAGTTGTGTTGTTGTTGATGCTTCATCGCCCCTCTCCTCTCCCCTCCTTTTCGTCCTCTTGGGAGGATCATCGCGTTCCATCGCATCTCATCCATCCCACTCTCCATGCCTTTGTTTCGCAAAAAACACAAGTCCCCATCGCCTGCTGCATCTCCCGCCTTTCGTTCTGTCGAGCAACTGACCGTATCCCCTCCGTCCACCGCTCCGTCGCCTCGTGTTCCTCCTGAAGATCTTGCGTTCTATCAGCGCTTCTCCGACGTGCGCCTCCCCACTTCGCCTTCCGATCAGCCAGACAACTCGTATTCTCAACAACAACCACAACCACAACATCATCATCATCAGCTCAATCATCAAAACCCTTTAGAGCATCCTCCGTATCAGCCTACAATCACTCGGTCGCAAAGCCATCACTCTCCCACTCTTCCCAACTCGGTACTTGCGACCCCCGCTTCACCAGCTGCTGCTCACTTCATCGATGCTGACCCTCCCGATCAGTCCTGGTCCTCGTCTCCCAACGTGGACAGGGCCTCTGAGCAGCCGGCTTTGGCCCCCAACTCTCACGATAGCAATAAGCAGGATCCGCCACAAAAGTCCCGCAGGAAACTATTCGGCCTACATTCCTCCTCGTCCTCATCGACAGGCTTCCTGGAACGCAGCCTGTCCGTTAAAGGCACTGCCTCGTCGCAATCGTCCCGCCAGCGACGGCATCAGCAACAACTGTCACTAGACACCAATCGAACCCATCGCGATCATCAAAAAACAAGTAACCGAAATATCAATCACCATTCCTCGTCCGAGACCGTTCCCGAGGACCATGTGGTAGACCCGAACCGGAGTAGCTCACAGTCTCTCCTCATGCAACAGGACACGGCGTCAGCTCACCAACGACCTCCCCGTTCCCCGCAGCACCCGCCTTCCATCCAGCGATCCAACACCGATTCTAGTCTTCTCGAGAAATTATACAATTCGTCGCCTGTTGACTCGGCTTCCAGACAACCTGTAGACCCTCCCCAAGTCATTTCGAATCAGTCACAGACACATCTGCAGCAGCAACATTCGCCTATTTCGCAGCTTCAAGTGGAGCCTCCCTTGAGTGCACGACCTCCATCGCGACAGTCCTTGGGGCCGCCCTCTCCGTTGCCCCCATTCTCCCATCAACCGGATCTGCACCCATCCTCCGCCCACCAGAGCGGCATGGCTTCATCGTCGGACCGTCCGGCCGGTCCACCGCAGACGCAGCCTCAAGGCCATCCGTCCTTCCCTGGTGGCAGTCAACAGAACGCCACCGAGTCAGGGCGCAGCACACCCCCGGTCAATTCGAGCAGAAGAGATGATCCTGGCGAGATCGATGTGCGAGCTTTGCTGCAAAAGCATGATGAACTCCGTAAGGTTTCACACCCAGGGTTGAGGAGATGTACTGACAGAGTGTAGAGGCCAAGTACTCCAAAGTGAAACGGTACTATTTCGAGAAAGACGCTCAGGTGCAGCAACTGCAGAATACCGTGGCCCATCAGCGCATGGCCGTGTCCCGCACGGTCCTCGATGACAACGAATACGCGAACCGGTTCGCCCGCCTTGACGGCGCCATCAAGGATCTGGCCTTTTCCATCCGGAAAGATTGGAAGAGCTTACCCACCTGGTTGGCTGGCCATGTCAATGAGGACGCACACACGACCGGCATGAAGGAAATGACGGCCATTGGCCGAGCGACGATGAGCCGATGGCTGGTGGAGGAGATCTTTGAGCGGCATTTCCATCCAGCTCTGGAACCTAACTTGAGCATGCAGCTGAAGAGCATCGAGATGAATCTGCGCCGGCAACAGACCAAGACCTACACGGAGGAGGATCGCGAGAACGCGATCGCGCGGATTTCGAATTGGCGCCGAACGACATTCGACGGCCTCACGGACTCCCTGCAGGGCAAAGCCGCGGACGAAAACCGGGCGCAGCTCATCAACCACCTGGTTGAAAAATTCGTCGCGTGCCTGGAGATGAACCTGTGTGAGCCGCCGCCGCCGGGACTGGAGAACGGCGCACGGATGATCGTGGAGAACGCAGTGGGCATCTCGGAGAAGATCCCGCTAGAGTCGCGCGACATCTGCGTCGAGTACTTTATGCCGGGGACGTTGGTCAACGAGGCCGTCATGAAGATCGAAGGGGGCCTGCCGCCGCTGACGAATGTGAAACCGCTCCCCGAGATGCCCCCCGCGCGAGGCTCTATTGAGCACGAGGGCGCTCATGATGGGGTTGGCGAGGATGGCGACGGCGAGGCCGTGCCCCCGTCGGGCGGGAGCAACTCGATGGACGGGGCATCCGGGGCGGGATCCACCCCCGGGCGCGAACAGCGCATGAGGTCGGTTTTCAACACGTTGATGGGCAAGCGGCAGGCCCCGGCAGTCGAAGCGAGCCACGGCAGCAAGGAGATGAAAGACCCGGTGGAGGAACGAAGCAGCGGCCGGATCCGATTTGCCTCGTTCCTGAGCGCGGAGGTACGCGGGAGGGGGCCTACGAATGTATTGGTCAAGGCGCCTGTATATTTGATATGACGTATGAATTCATGAATCCTAATTATGATCTTACGCAAGTCCATTGTACACATCCATTGTACACTGTAGTCTGCTGCCTGCCCAATTTAGAACGGAGGCGGGCTCAGGTCCAACCCCTCGACCGTCAACTTGAACGCATCGTTGCGCGAATAGCTTCCCGCGACGTCCAGATCCAAGCGGCCGCGCTCACAGTCCTCCAGGTCGATCTCGGCCACCAGCAGCCCATCCCCGACCGCATTACCGTCGGCATCGTCCGCGGCCGCGCGAGCCGTCACGGCGGAGTCGGGCGCATCATCCGCAGAGACCTCCCAGATCGGGCCGGCGAGGACCTCGCCCTGGCAACCGACAATGCACGACCCGCCGCGGCAGACAAAATCATCGCCATCTGTCATGTCAGTCATGTCAGTCTGTTCTAGTCGGTAAGAAGTGAACATACGAGGAACAACACCAGTCGGAGGAGCTGCCACCGGCGCCTCCGCCTCCGCCTCCGCCTTCTTCTCCCCCTCGGGCCAAACAATCTCATGCGGGCCCTCGGCCGTGATGGAATGCTTCTTGCGATGCGCCGCCGCCTGCGTCCGGGCAGACGCCTGCTGCTGCATTTGTTGCGGGCCCGGCGCACCCGTCACCCACTCCGGCAACTCACTATACCGCACGCACTGATTCGCCGAGAGCACGAACGCGCGGCCCTCGCAGGCGACCGTCCGCATAAGCGGCAGCCAGGTCTCGCGGGCGTCGGCCGTCGGCGCAAGATAGATATTCACGTTCTGCGAGTAGATGCTCTGCCTCAGGAGGGGCATGTAGTTCTCCCAGCAGATGGCCGCGGCGAGGGTCACGGGGACGCCGTTGAGATGCGTCGTGACGGCCTTGAGGGTGGAGGGGGAGCCCTGCGCCCAGACGAGGCGTTCCGTTCCTGTCTATCACCGTTCACCACCATCAGCTCCCCACCCCAATTCAACTTTAAGAATAGCAAGGAAGGAAAGGAAAGCAAGGGAGGAAATACAGGCATGACCTTCCTCCTCTTCCCCAGACACCCGCGCAGCGGATCAACATACACCACCGAACAATACAGACTGCCGCCCGCGCGCTCAATCACCCCCACAACGAGAAACACCCCCGTCTCGCGCGCCACCCTCTCCAGCTCCTCGCGTGTCCCGTCGCCGCGCTCGCTCCGCCCCTCCGCCACCGGCAGCCGGCGCGCCACCCAGTCGTCGCCCGCGCCCGCGGGCGTATCGCCCAGATCGACCGCCGAGCGGAAATACGCGAGGAACTGGTCGCGGCCGTGCGGGGCGCGCGAGCCCACCGCGCAGCCGAAGGCGCAGGTGCGCGGGTAGCCGCCCAGGTAGGCTTCGGGGAAGAGGAGGAGGTGGACGCCGCGGGTGCGGGCGTGGTGGGCGATGCGGGCTAGCGCGGTGAGGGTGGCCTGGGTGGTGGTGTGGGTGCGGGCTTGCGCGACCGCGACGGTGAGTTTGGAGGGCATTTTCTGGTGTACTTGCTTGCTTGCACTTGCTATTGTTTGTCCTTGGCTGGAGCTGGAGCTGGAGCTGGAGCGGTGTTGATGCGATGGAAGTTGTGGTGAGGGGAAAGTGTGGGCGGCTGCTGTGAGTCAACCGGGGAATGAAGCGGGGAGGAGACGGCGGAGCAAATGCCGAGTTCGATTCCCGGGAGTTTGAGGAGAGAGGAGAAATACTCCAAAGCCAGGAGTAGTCTGAACTGTAGGATAGAGAGGTAGAGAGGTAGAGAGGTACGTTGTTGAGCAAGGTCAAGATAGCAGCGGGGGATTGAGGTGATGCAAAATATGACATCATAATCATCCCATGTCTCATAGCACATCCTCTGTCATGGAGATATTCAATTATCTATACCTAGTTACAGTCTGTAAGTACTTAAATACACCAAAACGATCCTATGTACCAAATTAGACCCATGAATTCCGGATCGAATGGACGAACCCGACGCTTTCTCAAATCGCTAGCGAAGAACCGTGAATGCAACAAAGCCCGGGTATACGCGCGCTAGAACAAGCAGCAAGAATAAACCGAAAATCAGTTGCCGAGATAAATCTTGCAAAAAATCATTCTTTTCAAATCAAGCACCAAGTCAGATGTGTTGCAGTCATATGCTGGGCCGCATGGAGGCTTACACCCTCGCACCCACGGCGTTGGCGGCCTGCTGCAACACACGAGGCCAGCGCGAGATAAACTCGACATCGTCCAAAGCCCCCTTGCCCCGGTTGCGCACATACTGCTTGCTAGGGTCAATGCGAGGCTCATAGTCCCAGATGGCCGGAGTGCCCTGGATCAAAGCCGAGTACACTAGACGACGCCGGCGCTGCGACCGCAGCACGTCCTCTCGGATCGCCTTCAGATCCCAGCGAGCGTGCACTTCCTCAGTAAAGTGCGCCAGCAGCGTGGCTGGATCGGTGGTTTCAGGCAGCGCTGCGGGAAACTTGGCGGGACTGGGGGTGCGCGGGGGAGTCGGAAACGGGAAAGATGAATTGGCGCGCTGGGGTACTGGGGACGCATGAGGAGTTTCCGCCGGCGTGTAAGCCGGTGTAGGTAGACCCGTAGGCCTGAGCTGATCAGGCAGGGCAGTCTTGACGGCGGAGGGTTGCGACGGTTCAGTCAGTCCTGCCACCAAGTTCACCCTCTCCTCCGGGTCGTTCTCGAGGTCGTAAAGCATGGGAGGATCGATCAGCGAATAGACAAACTTCCACTTGCCGCGACGGATCATCACTGTGGGAGACTGGGTGCCCTCGGCCATGTACTCGCCCAGCACGGTGTCGGTCTTGACACCCTCCTCGCCAGTGAGGTACGGCATCAGCGACACACCGTCCAGTGGAAGCTCCTTGACCAACGGTGCTCCAACCATCGCGGCAAAGGTCGGCAACAGATCCATCGTCGAGACGTTCTCCGAAACGCGCTTAGGAGCAAAGCGGTTGGGGGCGTGCACGATCATGGGCACACGCGCCGAATTCTCGTACCAGACCATCTTGTACCACAAGCCTCGTTCACCCAGCATATCGCCGTGATCCCCGGTGAAGACGACAATGGTGTCGTCGCGCAGACCGCAGTCCTCCAGCACTTTCAGCAGCTTCCCGACATTGGTGTCAACGTAGGTGCAGGCGGCATAGTAGGCGCGGCGCGCGGCCTTGATGCGCTCCTCGGGCATCTCCTTGCCCCACAGGTCAATGCACTTGAGGACCCGCTGCGAGTGGGGATCTTGCTGGTCATGAGGAATCGCAGGAGTCTTCGGCAACGGGATGTCAACGTCTTCGTACAGGTCCCAGAATTCCTTGGTCATAGCGTAGGGATCGTGCGGGTGGGTCATAGACACCGTCAAGCAGAAGGGCTGGTCGGTACGGTGACGGACGTGGTCGTAGAGATACTGCGTGGACTTGTAGATGACTTCTTCATCATAGTCGAGCTGGTTGGTGCGCACGACAGGACCTGCCTCCATCACAGACGACATATTGTGATACCAGTCCGGACGAATATCCTGCTCAATTAGTGTTGTGTACTACGAGCATGACGCCAAGGTCACTCACCGGCTCGTCCCAGTTGACCGACCAACCATAGTCACCGGGGTAAATGTCGCTGGTCAGTCGCTGCTCATAGCCATGCAGCTGATCGGGTCCGCAAAAGTGCATTTTACCAGCCAAAGCGGTGTGATAGCCTTCGCGGCGCAGATAATGGGCGTATGTGGGAATGTCGGCGGGCAGGTCTGAGGCATTGTCGTAGGCGCCGATCTTGGACGGGAGCTGACCGGTCACCATGACGAAGCGCGAGGGAGCACACAGCGGGGAGTTGCAGTATGCGGAATCGAACACCACACCTTCCCGAGCCAGACGGTCCAAATTGGGAGTCTTAATAGGAGAATTCTTGTCATGGAAGGCCAGCAGGGGAGCGGCCATCTGGTCCGCCATAATGTAGAGGATGTTGGGCTTCTTGGCCGCCATGGTGTCGCTGTCGTCACAATCACTAAGGGAGGGTTGAGGATAGCAGACTAGACTAGACTTGAAGGATGAGATTAAACTAGAATCGAGATATACACAGGAATTACCAGGACAGAAAGGGAGTAGGGGACATGGGAGAAGCAGAGGATGGAGGGAGGAGGAAGAGGAAGAGGACAAAGAGGAAGAGACGGGGACAGAGTAGGGAAGAACGATGGATAGATATAGGGAACGAGTCCAATGGTTCGGAGAGCAAGTGGAGCAAAGAAGAACAATCAACAATCAACAGCTCATTAGTTTTGACAAAGATATGGAGTGAAGAGTAGGAGAGAACCCAATGGAAAGGGAAAAAAAGAGAGAAAATAAAAAAATAGAGAGCACAGAAAAAGGACGAAAAAAAAAAAAAAAAAAAAAAAAAAAGAAAAAAAAAAAACCGTTAATTATTAAAAAAAAAAATCACGTTGTAGGAGGGGAGGGGGTTCTATTTAAATTAAAATCCCCCACCGCCGCCCAACCCCTCGTTGTTTGTTGTGGGGGGTGGGGTTGTCCGACAAAAAAAACAAACAACAAAAAACTAGTTCTCCAATAAGTCAACATACACATAATAGCCTCGCAACACCCAAAATCTGTGTCTTCAATTAT